AGAAGCGTTTCTGATGTGACATGGCGTTAGTGCTGAACATCTCCATAGGCTCATAGTTTTGGATATCCCGCCTGCCCTAGACTCGTCTCAACTCCGAACACGATCTGACGCGTAGCATTCTCGTTGTCTTCCTCTGGTTTCTTCAGTTGACCAGGATTCAATGCGAAAGTCAACCCGCAGCTTCACCGCGATGCTTTCACCATTAGATGGAGAACAACAAAAAAGTCTACTCTCACGTGACACTGGTCAGCCACGCATTGCGGCGAAAGATCAGGAAAATTTTGAGATCATCAAGCAGTTCTTCTACATCCGCCATAAGCCCTGACCTTTTGTTAACGGAATCTCCTCCCTAGTACGCATTCTTCGGAGAAAATCGTAATCTAATTATAACGATGTCAAAACCGGCATTCAATTTTTTTGGCCAGAACTCAATGAAGTTACGAAAGAAGCTTTTAAAAACCATTCGCGCATGTGGCAATTCGTTGTTAATTAGGGAGTTGTTACTATGCTGGGTGAGTGTGTCAGAAACCTTCCAAAAAATCCATAAAATCAGACAGCGAAATTGACTCGGAAGTATTATATGTGTCGACGTTAGATAATTAAGCGTATGGTTTGACCGCAGTCTTTTTTCGGTTCTGAGTTTTCGTATGTATAGCGTCCGCTACGTTAACGAGGTGATATACAGTGTAATGCAACCTAAGCATACGACCATCCTCAAAGTTCACCAGAAGCCCGGGCTTCTGCTGACCATGTGCGAGTGACGAGTGAGGATAAGTCTACCACATTGGTTTCCATTTAAGAGCATGTGCGAAACACAAGTCGAACTCTTTGTCCATCCCTATCGGTCTATTCAAAGGCAAACCCCTGGATTAGCACTACTAGTAGGAAGGATACCGCGAGAGTAATTGTGGAGTCCGTACATACATAGGCATGCCATGCGCAACCCTCATGGGTCCGATCCTTGATCGTCATGCGCGACCTTAATCCTGATGGGTGCACTACCACCGACAGCCGTTGCAACACTTCCTACCCTCCGCGATTGATGTAGAGATCAGCGTGCTCTCTCGAACGATGTGCTCTCTCGCGTGTTTTGTCTTCTTTGATCGCCCTGTCTCGCCATCGTACCACATCCGACCTTACTGAAGGTTAAGGCCTTAATTTTAGCGTTCCGATGATTCTCTTGCTTTCTTTTCCACTTTTAGTTCATTCCGCAGCTCATCTATCACTACTGTCTCCATGTCCCAGTTTTATCCCGAGGCTTGCTTTTAAGCTCCATGTGTGTGCTCCAACCTGACTATTATAGAAGGGCGCTCGTGTCGTTGGGGAACATTCAAGTCGATGATCCACTTACAGCGCTTGGGACTAAGCCTCAGAAAGGGAATGTACTCTGTGGGAGAATGTGGACCGTTATGAGTCATTAGTGTTTTCCCTGACGCTTCTCCCGTCTTCTGGGTCAGTCCTAGCGTCACTTACCATCGGCCTTTTTTCAATATCCTCGTCCCCCTCCTCTAGGGGCAGTGTCTGTAGAAGGTAACGAATTCCTTTCTAGTTTTCTTACAGTTTCTTGATATCTTCTTTGATACTTTGTCCATTTTGCGCTCAGTCAGTGCAGATTATGATTCTGACCCGAAGCACGATGGAGCCAGCGAATAGTCGATTTCTTCTTAGGACATTGGAATCGAGATCAAGTACGCTTTATTGCAGTACACACGCAGACAATGTTCATTTACGAACTACTAGTATACATAACCCGAATCATATCAAATTCCAACAGTCGGTTTATTGATTTAATCATTACATGTATAAGAAATTGAATCCATTGAAATAAACAATGCTTTTTCAAAGGCTAGAGATCGAATTAATATCAATCACATTAATGCTCAGGTGTGAACTAGAGAAATCTGAATTCAGAAGACATTCTTGTTGTATGCTCTCTCGTGAACCGGTCGAGGAATGGCTTCCATCTGGGGTCTAGCAGTTGATTTTCAACAAAGTAGTTGAGTAGGACCATGTGGACGAACAAGTACTGCTGATCAGTCTGAAACAAGCACAAATTTTAGTTGAATGCCATTCACACACGAAACCATAAACTCACTGAAATTGTGTTGCTCGATTGAAGATCTTATTTCAGAAGTCTTATCAGTTTCTTCGAAGGGTCCTCCCAAAGAGATGGATTCCAGGATGTACTGGATAAGAACCATTGAGCCGGTCCTGCCAACTCCGGCCGAGCAGTGAACAACGATTGGCGCTCTGAGAGTGGGATGGTGAGAGAGAATCACGTTGGCAGAACAGAACGAAAGCTTACTGAGTGCCTTTGATAATTTCCAATACTTGAATGATCGCCGTATCGGCTGGTGGCACTCCGCGGTCCGGCGTCCTCCATGAGTGTTAGTTCTCATCTTCTAGAATTTAGTTCGAATCTTTGTGTAATGGGGTGTCTCATAGATTAACGTCGCATCTTCTATTCAACTTTCATAATTCACTTCCGTCAAAAAAAAAAAAAAAAAAACAAAAAAAAAACTAAGACCGTTTCATTGCGAAATACGTTAGTATGTTGAAGTATGCTTCGAGTGACCTTAACAGCGTGGTTCCGGAAGCGCAAGCCCTTAACGGGTTAATCAACTAGTAATAAAAATAGGTCAGTGACTGCAATCAATGATTATGCTTTACGATCCTCAAATGAACTCTGTAGCAAGGAGGACAACAGAGAAGATCAGCGCTGTGTTTGACTCAGTCTCTGCTACTGATAGGGTACTGAGCTAGTGGACCAATCGCAACGGCAAAGACGAAACGAGCTATGAACTTCAACCTCATACTGGGCCTGCGGTCATTTTTGATGAGCGCCCCTTGCACCCTAAATTGGGAGTGCCTCCGCACGTTGCTACCAGGGTATTGTAGCAGATACCTGAGCGCAGCCGATGCACCAGCACACGCCATCAGTATGGCAAAGACTGCTGCAGAGTGAAGTTTTGATGGAAACCTTATGGTCCGGCCGACCATGAGCGAGAGCACGCCTGATCCTGGACCCCATTCTTTGGATGGCAAAAGCAGAGTCTTCCCTAATCGGTCACCGGTGGAAATGAGTCAAGAGTCCACTGCGACAACAACATGCGGCACGTCTTATGGCTGCCTCGCAGCTAGGAAGCACCAGCTCAACCAAAGCCCGAACTCCGTTTTCTGAGAATATCGATCTCGTTTTATTGGATTCGCTAGGTGGCCTGGTTTGGGAACCACTTCAATGTATGAAGACAAGCATTGCTAAAGTCAGCGCGGAATAGCCCTCTTGGCTGGCTTTGGGGTTGCGAGAGAATCGTCAGAAACGTCTCAGATCCTCCTTCCTCCGAATGTACACCAGACCTCACATTGCAATGCCAACTCACCACGTTCTGAGGGAAACAGCCAGGGCCACGATACCTCATCCACCATATAGCATTGGCATCGCTCTATCGGACTATCGCCTCCCCTGCGCTTTGAATAAGCATCTGCCAGAGAAGAAAGTTAAAGATTGCGGTCACCCCAAAAACGACTTCTCCAAATTCTTCAACCCCCAGTTTCCTTCATTCTGGGGTGGAAGCTTCCAAACGCCCACTAGTAAATGCACGTATATCAGTGACCATGATGGTGGTTATGCTATTAGTCAGTTGTTTCCCAGAAGAGATAAAACTTGAATAAACAAAAGTGTCGAAATTGCGACAGTAATTATGAGACAGCCCAATATATATGGAATA